ATAGCTGCCATTGTCCCTTAACTGGTATTCTGGTAATTTAATTGTTGCATAATAAACTGCCCCAAGACTTGATGGCTTAAAATAATGGTGTCACGTTTTTCTAAGTCAAGGGTTTTCATATGGTTGCAGTCCAGTGGTGGCTGGAACTGGGGTCATCTGAAAGTTTGCCTGGGCTGGTCATCCACACTGGCTCACTCACGTGTCTAACAGTTAATGTTGGCTGTTTGCTAGGAGTTCAGCTAAGGCCGTTGTCTGGAGTACCTTCAAAGGAGCCTGTGCATGTGACTTGAACTTCTCACAGCATGGTGGCTGGATTCCTTGAGAAAGTGTCCAAAGAATGAACGGTCCAAGAGACCCAAGCAGAAGCTGCAAGACTTTTTAATGACCTAGCATTGGAAGTCTTAGAATGCTATTTCTGTGGCATTCTAGTGTTCCTAGTAGTCACTGAGGCCAGTCCAGGTTCAAGAGAAGGAGTTTTAGATTTCATTTCTTGACATGAGAAGTGATATGTGTATATCTCTCTATATCATGCCCTATTGCTTTTACCTTCCATCTTCATCTCTTCTGCTTTTCTCAGGGTTTCTTTCTGTTTCACTTCTTTGTATCTACCTCTTTGTTTTTCTCCACTGTCTCTTGTTAGGTCCATCTGTTTCTTCTTTCTTTTTTTTAAAATTTCTCTACAGTTTCAGTTTGCTCTTTCTCTTTAAACTTCCTACCTCTCTCCTGGAGTTAACAATCATGTGCAAACAGAAATTTAAAAACATCTTCTGAGTTCATTAAATTGTTTTCTATTCCCTTTTCAAACATTTATAAGCTTATGAATACAGTATTTTCTATGGCTCTGCAGGAGGAGAATCCAGTTGTTCTTTGCTTACACAATCATCTATTGATTTTCTTTCCTGTGGTTCAGTGACCCTGTGTAGAATAAGATTCCCCCTAAGTTGCTGACCTTTCCTTCTAGATCACAGTTAACAAATCGTTAATCACCTTTATTGCTTTGTTCTGGCGTGCCTTCCATTTTCTACTTCTCATCTAAATTGTGCTGTCTCGTTTGCAAGACTAGGGCAGGGATGGAGTCTTGTCTATTCTTCAGTGTATTTCCAGAGCATAGCACAGTGTCTGGAACACAGGATGCTCTCGACGAGTATTTGTGAAATGAATGAGTTCTGCTGGGGTGTTGGGGTTTCAAGGAAGACCAGCAAGAGCATCTCCTCACAGTGCTGTTGCCTTAGCTCCTGGCAGCCTTTGTTTATCCCTCATCTTTGTTCTTTTCACGTACTTAATGTATCTCAAAATTTCCCCTCCCCCTTTCACCCTAAGATCATTTGCTCAGTGTAGGTTCTTTTAATCTTTAATTAGGTGACTCTGGCAGTAGCCTGCCAGTCACTTCCCAGTGGCCTTCTTCTCTCTAGGTTTCTTCCACTATCTTCCGTTCTCTCTTACCCAAAGGATGATTCCCAAACACAGGTTTATTCATTCAGTGAACTAATATTTATCAAGTGCCTCCTGTGTGCTGGGCCCTGTACTAACACTGCCTTCATGAAATCTTCCCCTAACTCCCAGGTTAAATCCCCCTTCCCTGTGCTCTTATAACCTTATCTTACCTCAGTCCAAATTATATTGAAATGATATTAAAATAGAAGTTATGTTTTGTGTCTGTCTCTCCTAATATGAGTAAGCTCCCGGAGGGCAGGGGCCACCCATGTTTTATTCATGTTCGTATTTAATAATTTGTAAGTTGTAACTCCCATGATCTTGGGCCATGGACATGACCTGCTGGCTGCTCAGTACATGTGTGCTGAATTGCCCTATGTGTTGATCCTTGTCCTAGTTTGCTCGCACTGCTATACCAAAATACCATAGACTGAGTAGCTTAAACAACAAACATGTATTTCTCACAGTTTTGGAGGCTGGAAGTCCAAGATCAGGGGCAACATAGTTCTGGTAAGTTCTGGTGAGGGTCTTCTTCTGGGTTGCAGATAGCCAGCCTTTTATCGTAACCTCACATTCACTGGGGCTCCCCCCCTTATGACCTCGTCTAGTCCCAGTCACATCCCAAAGATCCCACCTCCAAATCCCATCACACTGGAGGTTAGAGTTTCAACATATAAATTTTGGGGGGACACATTCTGTCCACAACAGTCCTACTTTTATATCTTGAGACTTCAAAAGTTAAATCCAATTCTTTTTTCACATTTTAGTCCTTAAAATATTTGAAGACAGCTATTGAATCCCCCGAGTCTGCTCTTCTCCAGGCTGGACATTATTAGTTCTTCATTTGTCATGGATTTTAGTCTGCTCCTGGTGGGCCCCAGTTTGTCCATGCGCCTTTGAAAGTAAAGCTTCCACAGCAGACCCAAGCATACAGAGTGTGGTTCAAACACTGCAGAGTAGACATGTTTCTCCTGTTTCTTTCTAGGGACCACGCCTTTAATCATGCAGCTTCAGATTGCATTTGAATTTTAGTAAGCCAATGTACACTGCTGAGTTGTAGCAAGTCAGCTGAAAACCTGGGCATCTTCTTCATTCCTTAAATGGCCTCTAACCAGATGACTTGTTGTCAACCTCCAATGCCAAATTATACTATCTCTCCCACCTTCCCCATGCCTTGCCCCCTGTAAGTCCCACATGCAAACACACAGGCTCATATAGAGTCCAGCAAAGTCACTGGGGCAGGACAACTGTGTGAGGAGGCTGGGTGGGGTGCAGGGGTCGGGATCTTCTCCATGATGTGACATGAACAATAGTGGAAAGACCCTCTGATCCCATAGTGCTCTCTTACTTTTTTAAAGAACTGCTTCCAATTATGAACTTGAGGATTCTAGAGTCTTCTCCATGATGTGACATGAACAATAGTGGAAAGACCCTCTGAGCCCATAGTGCTCTCTTACTTTTTTAAAGAACTGCTTCCAATTATGAACTTGAGGATTCTAGAAATATCAACTGGGTTCTAAGATATAGGGGTTCACACTCATGTTAATTTCTCTCCAAATCCTTTGTGAGGAGCACTGTGCACAATGGGTGCTTTGTAGGACATGCACTGGGAGTCGGCTTTAGAGTAAGGATTCGAAAGTTGGGTTTGAATCTTAGCTTTACCACTTGCTAATCTTACAATTTATCCTTGTAAACCTGTTTTCTTCCCTACTAGATCATAAACACTGTAAAGGCAGAGACAATGCTTATTTTATTGACCAGTGTCTAGGTAGCACCTCTCATAGTGCTCGATATTTAATAGGTGCTAAATAAATATGGATGAATGAGTGGATGAATGAGTATGTGCTATGTAACCTCCTTAACTTTATGAGCCTGAGTTATCCTCATCTTTAAAATGAGAGAGTTAATTGTTCCCATTTCATACAGTTATTGTAGGGCTTAAATGAGATAATCTATGTAAAATATTTAGTATGTAGTGAGAATGCACTAAATGTTATTATTATTATTATTGGTAAATCAATGAATTATATAATATAGGGTAGGGCCAGAGGAAAGGCATAATCTATGTAAAATATTTAGTATGTAGTGAGAATGCACTAAATGTTATTATTATTATTGGTAAATCAATGAATTATATAATATAGGGTAGGGCCAGAGGAAAGGCAAAAAAAGGGAGGCATCAACAGGAGAGAGGTATGTTGCTTAGTCTAGGTATATGGTGGTTTAGGTGACGGAAAAGAAATTTGACTGTTTTAGAAAAGGACAGGATGGCAAATAAGTCCTTTGAATTTCTGCAGGTGCTTACATTTTTAAATTCCTTTTTTTTGAGGACCCTCATTAGAATCATAGGGAATGAATCCCAGAAAGGCAGCCCTTTATTAATACTTGGAGAGAACCTGCAGCCTCTCTTTCACCATAACTGCCCCACATCTCATTATGGAGTCTCAGAGAGTTTAATAAACAGAAGGGATGCCTGGGAGCTATGGCTCCAGCCTTTCACTTGTTAGTATTCAGGGTGTCCTATATAGTGTCCTGCACACTGTAAGCCTTAAGGAGTCATTAACATTTCATGGAAATCCAGGGAGCATTCCATTTAGTACTGAAGAATTTTGAACTGAGACTTGAAATGAATTAAAACAAAAACAAAAAAATAAAAACAAAGGTGAAAAAGAAAAAGGAATTTCCACAATTTTAACAAAAATCTCTTTCTCAAATGTATATTTCTTAGACCATCTTTGACGCAAAGATGATTTTGCACATTTTCAGATTCCATCTTTATTGATCAAGGCTAAAAATATTAAGCCAGATTCTCCCAGGACCAACCTTCTCCTTGAAAGTTAAGCACTTTTGAATGTATATGAATTCTGAATTCTGAAACTCAGTCCAGTACAGAGGGTCCTGGTTCTTTCCTGGGGGTGGAGGGCAGTTTCTTCTCTTTTGAACCAGAGTTGTATGGAGAAAGGACACAGCAAGACTTAGATTGTCATCAGCCAGTTTAGTTTAAGGCACATTGACCAGATCACCTGATAACCCTGGTCCCGTAGAAGACCCTACACATCCTCCATGTGAAACAAGGTCTCGCATATTTCAGTCACATATAGGGTTAGAAGTATTTGTATGTAAATTGTATGGCACCTTCCAGATGTGTCTGGGCAGGCTTTCAGCCACATGCTAGCAGCATTACTTTGTGAACAACCAACTGTGATATCACAGTGCCATTTTGGAGAGCATCCGAAGGAAGATGAGAGCATTATTCCCAATTACAGCAAAGGTCCCTACCTAAGTATGAATGTAAGGGTACTTCAAAAGTTCATGGGAAGATTAATACCATCTTTCCATTCTATTTTTCCACAAACTTTTTTGAAGGACCTGATATGTTTACCATGCCCTGCCAATTCACCTTCCTACCATTAGAACTGAAGTGATAAAAATGTCATCTTTGGCAATGATTTACCTTCCTTTTGAAAGTGAAGAGGCAGAATCCTCTTTTGTGTTATCCATTGTAGTCTCAGTTTTTGGTTTCTCAATCTTATTCATTGGCTCATTTTTATTCTCTTCCTTTGCAGAGCAAAACTTGCTTCCTGTTGTGATGCTGTTCAAAATTTCATTGTTTCTCAAAATAACACACCAGTTGGAACTAACATGAGTTATGAGGTGGAAAGTAAAAAAGAAATCCCAATTAAAGAGAACATTTTTCATATGTTTCCAGCGGTGAGTAAAGATTTGTTGTGGGTTATTTGTGTCACTGTCCCAGGTAAATTTTCAGAATTAATTTAATTAATTAAAATACCATACTCTGTTATGTTGTATAAAATATGTGTAGTGGGCCATTTTTTAAAAAACATTTTTATCAAAACGTATTGATTGTACATATTTATGGGGTACGGGGTTATATTTCAATGCATGTAAGCAGTGTGATGATCTAATCAGGGCAATTACAATATTCATAATTGCAAAACTTAATCATTCCTTTGTGATGTGAACATTTGATCTCCTCTCTTCTAGTCTTTTGATAACATGCAGTAAATCATTGTTAATTCTAGATTCCTGGGTGTAGTGTACAGCAATAGTGATAGTTTTCTATCTAGCTGTAATTTTGCATCCATTAACCATTTTCTCACTATTCTCTCTCCCCCCTCCTCTTTCCCACCTCTAGTAACCACAGTTCTTCTCTCTTCTCTTAACTGTTCAACTTATTATTTGTTTGTTTTTTGTTTTTGTTTTTGTTTTTTAACTCTTTCATATGAGTGAGAACATAAGGTATTTATCTTTCTGTGCCTGGTTTATTTAACTGAACATAATTTTCTCCAGGTTCCTCCATGCTGCTGCAAATGGAGAATTTCATTCTTTTTTATGGCCAGATAGTATTCTATTGTGCGTAATAACACATTTTCTTTATCCAATCATTCATTGATGGTCATTTAGGTTGGCTTCAAATTTGGCTATTATAAATATAGCTGCAATAAACATAGGAGAGCACATATCCCTTCAACATGGTGATTTTCATGCTTTTGGGTATATACCCCCAGAGGGATTGCTGGATCACATGGTAGTTCTATCAGTAGTCGTTTGAAAAACTGCCATACTGTTTTTCCATAGTGGCTGTATTAATTTACATTCTCACCAACAGTGTAGAAGGATTCCCCCTTTCCTGCATCCTCGCCAGCATTTATTATTCTCTGTCTTTTTGATAATAGCCAGTCTAACCGGGGTGAGGTGATATCTCAATGTGGTTTCTGATTTGCATTTCTATAGTGGGCCATTTTAGGAAGGCAATTTTGAATGCAGCATCTCTCTTCAGGGAAGGGTATTTATATCTTAAATGATAAGCTCTTTCAGTCCTTGAATATTCCTGACTCTATGAATGAAATGAGGCACTTGTGCTTTCTGCATAGTAATTACTGGGGCTTGTGAAGATGACCATTTTTCACCTGGATTAAGATTCTTCCATTTGTCAGTTTGGGTGACTAAATCAATTCCTTTACAAAGAACTATACACTTACGTGGCTTATCTTTGGGAAGCAAATAGGTAAGAATTCGTGGCCAATAAACATAACCTCTCTGAGACAGGGATTTTTGTCTGCTATGCTCACTGATGTATCCCAAGCTTCTAGAACATTTCCCAATATAAATATGCATTCACTACATATTTGTTAAATAAACAAATGAGTGATGATATGATATAATACCACCTGACACTTGACACAAGAAGAAACTTGTCCCTTACTTGGGGAATTTTTGTTATGAAGAATATCCCATTGCTTATAAACATACACTCTCAGGCATCTCTTTAGGATTTGATTAAAAGCAATTAGGACATGTCAATATGGTAAAAAATAGGATCATGTTATATATATGCAGTTTACCAACTGTAGAGTATTAGATTCTTAAAATTAATTCCTTTTTGTTGGACCTTTGACTTCTTTCAACTAATGTATTATTGCTCATGTAAGTTGTTCCAATTTTTTTTTTTACATTACAATTCAGAGGAAGAATAATTTGCTGAGAATAAATGAGAAATAAATAGAAAATGACTGAGAAAAAAATACTGAAAATTTCTTTGGAAGAAAAGAGGAACAGAAGTGACCCATAAAGAAAATAGTTGAAATAGAGAAAATGAATAAAGACAAAATTCGGTCCTTTGAAGTGATCAAAAAAAATGAATGAAGTTGATTGTAGGTAATTGTACCTCAATAAAATTTATTTTAGAAAAAAAAACTCATAAAGAATTCTTATAATGCACTGAAATGATCAATAACTGAAAAGATAAAAATAAAAGAATATTTCTATTTCCTCTTAGGGAAGCCCTTGGAGAGTTCTGCAATGAGCAACTCTTTCACCCATGCAATTTTTGCTAACGTTTGTCTTGCTTTTGGCTCACCAGAACAGATGAGCAGCAGCTATTTTGCCTCTTATTTGGCAGCTTGAAAGGAATAACAACATAGGTTTGATAAATCTGTATGTGATTAACAACTGCATCTGTTTTCCAAATTTATACTGACTTATCAAAAATTAGGGAGAGGATATTCTGCAGTCAATATAGTAACAATTGCAAAGCTAGGTCATTTTTTTGTGTGTTGTTTCAGGCTTTACCTTCCATGGATAGGGCTCATGGTAGAATTGACCTCTTTCCTACTTTGCTTCCACCTGCCCACTCTGTTCTACTTTACTCTTCTGCATGTAGCTCCCCTGAACTGCTGGGCACACAGCAGATCCCCATAAATGCTTTTGATTAAATGGTGTGAAGTAACTTCCTCCAAAAACTCTGCAAAGTTTCTTGAATAGGAAAACAACAAAGTTGATTTTCAACCAGAGTGAGCAATGAGCAGACAGTAGAGCCATGCAAATTTGCATTTTCTTAGGATATTTATTTAAGGAAACACGGAGGTTTGTAATTTATTTAAACTCTTACTGAAAGGATGTTTTGCCCCAGTTGACCAAGAAACCAGAGAAAAACAGTCACTATTTTGTGTGCTTTATTTGAGATATGTTTCCCTCAGTAATCTTTTCTATCATATGGTAAAGAGCATATTTGCATTTTTGCATCCAACTCTATCTATAAAGTGTAGAATTTATGTGGTACCATTTAGTAGACACCATCTGAAGACATCTTGAGCTGGAATTTCAGTAACATAGTAACAATTGCAAAGCTAGGTCATTTTTTTGTGTGTTGTTTCAGGCTTTACCTTCCATGGATAGGGCTCATGGTAGAATTGACCTCTTTCCTACTTTGCTTCCACCTGCCCACTCTGTTCTACTTTGAGTAACAATTGCAAAGCTAGGTCATTTTTTTGTGTGTTGTTTCAGGCTTTACCTTCCATGGATAAGGCTCATGGTAGAATTGACCTCTTTCCTACTTTGCTTCCACCTGCCCACTCTGTTCTACTTTACTCTTCTGCATGTAGCTCCCCTGAACTGCTGGGCACACAGCAGATCCCCATAAATGCTTTTGATTAAATGGTGTGAAGTAACTTCCTCCAAAAACTCTGCAAAGTTACTTGAATAGGAAAACAACAAAGTTGATTTTCAACCAGAGTGAGCAATGAGCAGACAGTAGAGCCATGCAAATTTGCATTTTCTTAGGATATTTATTTAAGGAAACACGGAGGTTTGTAATTTATTTAAACTCTTACTGAAAGGATGTTTTGCCCCAGTTGACCAAGAAACCAGAGAAAAACAGTCACTATTTTGTGTGCTTTATTTGAGATATGTTTCCCTCAGTAATCTTTTCTATCGTATGGTAAAGAGCATATTTGCATTTTTGCATCCAACTCTATCTATAAAGTGTAGAATTTATGTGGTACCATTTAGTAGACACCATCTGAAGACATCTTGAGCTGGAATTTCAGTAACATCAAATAGCCTGAGATATCTGGGAACCATTTGTTTAAGAGCCAGGCACTATGCTAGGCATTGCAGATATAAGGAGAAATAAGGCAAGCAGTTAACACTTTTATCCCTTGAATGATGAGAAGCTGTGTACTGTTATATTAGTCCATTTCTGTTGCTTATAGCAGAATACCTGAAACTGGGTAATGGATAGAGAAATGATTCTTTTACACTTTGGAGACTGGGAAATCTAGTGGTCCAGGGAACACATCTGGTGAGGGTCTTCTTCCTGTTGGGGTGACACTATAGCGACTCAGGGTATCACATGGCAAGAATTTGCTAAGCAAGACAGAACTAACTTTCTCAGTTGCTCTCCTTATAAAGCCAACAGAACCACACTCATCACTCTATAAATGGATCGATGCATTCACAAGAGCACAGTCCTCACACTCTAATCATCACTTAAAAGCTCCACCTTTCAAATACCATAATTGGATTTTCTACCCTCTTGACACTGTGCTGTAGACTGGATGCCCCCCACCCCCAACTTCATTGAAGCTTAAATCCCCACGGTAACCATTGAGGGTGGGAAATCCTACTATGGCAATTGAAAGGTGGGGCCTTGAAGAGGTGATTAGATTGTAGGACCATGCAATAGTGAATGGATTAATAATGGTGGTAAGGGGCATGGTTCTAAGAGCTTTAAAAAGAGAGTGCATGAGGAACTCTCACTCTCTCTGCTCTGCCATTTTCTGCCATATGAGACCCCTGGGTCACTCTCACCACCACCAAGACACACACAACAAACGTGTTCCCTGGACTTTGGACTTCCCAGCCTCTGAAACTGTAAGCAATAAATTTCATTTTCTCGCAAATTACCCAGTTTTGTGTATTTTGTTATAAGCAACAAAAATGGACTAATACACACTATTACAATGGAGATCAAATTTCCAATATATGAACTTTTGGGGGACACATCTGACCCATAGTAACAGTGTAGTGGTTAAGAGCATGTACTCTGGAGTAGACTGCTTGGGTTCAAATCCCAGCTCTTTCAATTTCTTGCTGTTACTTAAACTCATGCCTCCATTTTCCCATCTCTAAAATGCTCATAAGGTTGTTGGGTGGATTGCATGTGCTAACATGTTATGCATTTAGAACAATACCTCTCACATAACAAGGATAATATGACTTAAGTTTTATCAACAAACCTACAAAGGGAGAAGTATTGAAACAAAATTGTCTTTGCTTGTTTGGTATCTCCCAGATCCAGCATCAGGAACAGGTGGTCTTAGTGGTTTGGAGTGTGCTGGCACTCTGGCACTCTGGACTGTGGCCAGTGGTGCACCTTGATTTTGTAGCCTTTGCCAGTTTCAGTGGTGTAAATACCCTCACCATGGCCATGATTTCAAGTTACTAATGGTTGGTGCTTATGGAATTCCTGAATATTGACCAGTTGGCTCTTGCAAGCTCATTTAAGCCAGCTCCAGCACACTACTGGGGTGCATCAGGCTGGGCCATTGGACCAGCAAGTGCTTATTGAAAGCTCACTTTGGACATTACACTATGCTAGATCCAGAGGGAAAGATGAAGGGAAATTAAAGCTAATAAACAGCCACTCTGCCCTTGAGGATTTGCACTCTAATTCTAGAGATTAAATAGGAGAATCAAGACCTCATCACTGTGGAGTATGATCTGGCACCCTTGCTGTAGGCTCAAGGTCACATTTGTACTTCAGGGAAAATGACCAGAAAAGAAAACGTGTACTGTTTAATTGAAAAGTGATGTTTCAGGCTGTAGACAGCTTGGGGAAATTGGGAAACATTTTGGAGTAAGCAAGTTGGGTCGTAGAAGGAAACAAAAAGGATTCAGGCCTTGGAAATTAATTTGAAATATGGCAGTGGAGAGTTGATAGGCCTCCCTGAAGTACCTTGGCTGGTCATTTGTTGAAATGACAGGCATAAATCTACTACCATTACTGAGCCTGAAGGTCTACCTATTTAAGCAGCATGGGAAATTTTTGCTAAATTACTTATTTTATGCCTTAGAATAGAGGATTTAATTCTACTTTCTAATTTCTTTTTGCTGAAAATGTCCCTATGTGTCAGAAAGGCACAATATAGGATTTTGTCATTTTTATTTTATTTACTTAATTATGTGATGTAAAATGCATTATATTATATTTTGTATACAAGCATATTATATTTTGTATTATTACATTATACTATATATTATAGGATGTCTATTGCTTTCAAGATAAATGAAAGAGGCTTACATGTTTTTTTATTACAAGTCTCATAATAAGTTGATCAGTATGTTTTGCTGCTTTTTAAAAAATAGAAAAGGAAATGCTGCTTCTGTTTCCTTTTTTCTTTTTGTTCTTTTTCTTCTTAGCATGTATAAAGTTACTAGAATTAAGCTGATGATGTTTTTGTTTCAAAAACCAATGCTATTTCATGGTGGTCTTTCACTTTCTCCTGCTCTAGTCTCAGCCTTTCGTGGAGTACCCTTATAATCAGTGTGCAGTGGTTGGAAATGGGGGAATTCTGAACAATTCTCTCTGCGGAGCCGAAATAGATAAATCCGACTTCGTTTTTAGGTAAGACCTGTCAAATTGGTTTCTTTGAAACAAAAGGTCACTTGGATATCTTAAAGAGATAGTATGAAGATACCCTTTGTAATTTTGACCTTTCAACTGTGTTGCTAAAGTCTACAAATTATCCAGGTAGGCTTTCCTGAAATATTACATGGCTCATGAGTTCCTCAAAATGTTGATACCAGAAGGATAAACATGTGCTGTGGTCACCTACTTTTAGGAAGCTGTGGGTGAGATCATGGTGAAAGACAGTTTTTTACTGCAGGACTTGTCAGAGCCTTTGGTGTGTTAATGGGTACCATGGCTCCTTTGGAAAAACTCAGGTATACTAGTAACATTTCCCAGACTCACCTGACCTTAAAGACCTTTTTTCTTACAGAGCATTTCAAGAAAGTTTTGTTCTCAGACAATACTTGGGAAAGAGTCAGTTTAGGCAGTTTACAGCCCTGCAACATCATTGTTTAGTTGTTTCTATTGAAATTAAAAAAAAAAAATTGTGCAGCTTCTAAATTCTAGCTTTTTAAAATACTTTTCTATCTCGATACTAGCTAGCTTGAAAAAATAGAAACAAAGATAGTTTCTATGTGTGCCTCGTACTAATAAGCCATGCTACAAAGCATCTCCACTTTCAGAATATCATGGAAAGGTGATTCATCCATCTGAGGATGAATTTCAGTTGAAATGCACTTTTTTGAAGAGTAAGTAGAAATCTGTTTCTTCCTGTTTTAGGAGCACTGATTTTATACATCAGAGGAAATCCTTTGATCCTTATTGATTTAACGCTGCCATTTTTAGTAAGTAAAGGAGAAACACTGTTTTTCAATAAATAGCTTCCCCCTTATTTTACATCTCATTTTCAAATTTTATGCTGGGGGTAATGGTAGAACAACAGTAGACCTGACAGTCCAACAATTACTGACTGTGTTCTTCCTGATTAATGTTAACATGGCCTGTGTCTGAATGGTTTAGCCATTTTGTTCAAGTACTCAGTGTGAAAAGCCATCATGAAGATAAAAATCTTCTTGTGATAGACTTTTTATAGACTTAAAATTCCCCAAACATCTGTGGTATTATGCCTAAACATTCATTTTACTTTATAGCACCTATAGGAAATACAACATTTAGGTTTAAAATCTAGAGAAAAACTCAGCAGATATTTAATTTATAACTCTAAAATAAAAGCCTGTGTTTCTAGGTTCTACATTTGCGGATGTCAGGTATTTTTCTGTTATATAGGGTTCCCTTTGAAGTTAGTCATTCAAATTGAAAGGCAAAATGGAGGCTAGATGTCATTAAAATTTATTTAATTTTTAAAGCCTGTACTTGTTTTGCCTATGCATGGTGACAGTTTATAAAACAACCTGGAAGCTGATTTTTTTTTTTAATTTCGAAAGATTAGGAGCTATGAATTAAGTGTGTAAGGAACAAAAATAGGCAATGACTATACTACTACTATATTATGACTGTATTACTATACACAGTATGCATATATAATACAGTATACTACTGTGTGTATATATAAATAGTGTATATCTGAGTATATATGTATACATTGAGTACAGAGCATATGCATGTACATATAGTATACTGATATACTGCTATAAGTATACTACTGTGTGTGTGTGTGTGTGTGTGTGTGTTTGTATCATACCCAATATTTCCCCTAGGAGTCTCCTATGATATTATATGGTAAATCACTTTCGATTCCTCAAAAACATATGAGACTGTTCTAGAAAGTAGATTTGTTACAGGGGGCGCACTGATGAGGTCATTTCTATGATTAATATTTATTTTCCCAAGTTACCACAGTTATTTTCTGACCTATCTTTTATATCAATGGGGGAATAAATGTTTACATATATAATTTATTATGTAAATGTTTCATTTATTTGTATGTTTCATAGGGCACGGTAAAAAGTGGTTCAACCTCAGTCATATTACAGGCCATGTCAAGTTAAACAACCTTCCTCAGGCAGTGCTCAAAGATGCTTTTTTTAAATGCTTAGCTTTAAAGAAATAGTCTACTTGAAATTCTGTAAACGATATTTAGGGAGTCATAACCAACATTCCATTTTTGTGATGGGAATGTAATTGCTCAAAAGTAGGATCCTTAATTTGTTTTTCAATTTAAAAACGAATTAGTACTCAAAGGAAGATGAGAACATCAATATGAAAATATCACTCTAAGAACATTAGGGTTTTATGTATTAATACCATAATTTGGTGCCAAAACTATCCATGTGGGAATCAGGAAATTTTGATTTATTTAATGTAGTCTTTGCTTCTGGCAGATTCTATAACCTTAGTTGCAGTGCCTCAGTTTTTTTTAATCTGTAAATTAATGATCATACCACTTGGAAATATAATCAATATAAATAAGGATTTTAATAAAAGTTTTGGGAACTCTTCAAAATTGAGGTAAGATGTAATTATGATTTCTAGTTTTGATGCTTAAAACTTTTTATCAATATTGAAAGCATCAAATGTGTATATTTTATGCAATGTCAAAATGTCAATTAAGAGTTCAATACTTATTACATAGTTTTAAAAGGAAATCAGGTGGATTCTGAACATCTCTTAACAGCAATGATTTCTCCAATATAAAGACAATTATCCTTTGTGTATGTGTGTATGTGTGTGTACACTATTTTTTAAAAATGTTTTATTCTGAAAATAGTTTCCTTTCCAAATTTCAGGTGTAACCTCCCCCCAATCACAGGAAATATTAGTAAAGATGTTGGCAGTAAAACAAATCTTGTGACTATAAATCCCAGTATCATAATACAAAAGTAAGTACCTCCAAGTTGCATAACTATTCAAGAATATTTTTTTAAAAAAATGTATCTCAGCCTAAGTGCTAATCTTGTTGCTGAGACTGACTTGAATACAGCTAAAATGGCTTTTTGGAAAGATATATAAGAATAGATTTGTAAATTTCAACATTCTGTCAAGGTTGTGGTTCATAAGAAATATGACTCAGTTGTACTTCTGATGTCATAAGCTAAATGTTACTAATCGAATGAGAGCCTATTAAAGAGTCAAATTATAAGGCTCACATAGTTTGCTTTACAGTCACAGCCAGTACACAATTAAAGTATACCACATTTATTTTGCATGAATAATGGTTTCTATCTGAATAAATGAATGACTACATTTTTGATAGATGAATTCTTGTGTTCACCAAATGCATTCAATCTATGTGGATCAGACAGTTAAACAGCCTTTGCTGTATTAAAAAACATCCTTTGGGTTTAAAAAAATAAAATAAAATAGGGCCGGCCCCGTGGCTCACTCGAGAGAGTGCGGTGCTGGTAGCGCCGAGGCTGCGGGTTCGGATCCTATATAGGGATGGCCGGT